CAGTATAGTTATCAAAATCCAAAAACGTATTTGTCATTCTACCGGTCAAAACCCCTTTTGTCGATATATGTGATTAGTTGAGCCAAGATTAGAGCACCAATGTTTATTTTAGTCAAATTCCAATGCTTCAACGCACCATACATTATCGTAATAGTGATTTGATGACCGAAAATCCAGTCTTAAAAATGATGACATTCTCATATTCAAGAAACGCTCCGATCTGGTTAACACAGTGAACTGGAAACGCTCCGGTAGTCTAGATCTGTTTAGGAAATATATAGCTTGCCCTTCCTTTTCAGGAAGAGAAAGAAAAGATCTATTATACCCCTTGGCATCAAAAGAAGAAAGATTAATTCACATATAAATTTTCTTTTTTTTCTATAGTATTATGATTTAGCACACATGTAGGCATGACATCATCTAATGTAGGCTTAAATCAGCTAGTTGCACGTTTAGCACCACCAGGTTCAGATGTTTCAATTTGCCTAACAAGTACAACACGTTTTTGAGAGAAAGATTCGATTCGGAACTCTTCTCTAATAATCTGAAAATGATATCAAAACAAAATGGTAAGAGCGTTTCTAAAATTGTGCTCTAAATCGACGGAGCGTTTTGAGGAAAACAAGCGATTTCTTGAGAACAAGTAATGCATTTGGACTGGGATTTTAGGAAATGAGAATATACGAGTTTGTGATCTACTACTTTAACAGAAAGATTAACGTTTTCATAGAAATACTATAGTTTAATTCGTAATTTGTGGTCAAATCGTCATCTTCAGATTCGTTCGATCTACACTACGGAGCTTTGATCAAGCAAATAACAGTTTACCACCAGAAGTTGAATAAATAAGATTTTTGCTCACGGTATTGTTCATCGAATGGTACATAATATTTCACCATAACATATGATATGTAAGAGAAACGAGAGAAACAATACTGACGGTCATAGTGAAATCTTCACTAGCCGCCATTTTATTTCGCTCTGGAGCGTTTCCGCGTAAATGAAACGCTCCGTCGTGCATGTAGGAGCGTTTGGGTTATACACCGTGAAGATGGTTGTGATACAAAGTAGCCAAGGTTTGAATGAATTTTAGCACTGCACCAATGGAGATTTGTTTTATATATGTACTTCTAATATGAATAAAAAATTGATGTCATCTCTATATTTAACATTGCCGAAATTATGTACAAGGGAGGTACTGTCTATTGTTGCAATTCACAATTTCAGGGAAAATAGGCGGTAATCGGCCCTTGTGCCCCGGAGTATAAATATACGATATCGAGGACAAAATATTTCATATCATTAAATTTAAACCCCTTATTTATGTAAAATACTTTAAAATTGTACTTACTGCAATATGATACTGCAATTGAGCCCATCGTCTCCACTGGTAGGGTAAAACAGGTTAATTGTATTAAATAAACACAAAACTAAATAGTGGATTCTTTATATTTATAATCATTCAAACACTGTTTATTACTCGTGCATTTAATCATCTTAGCGTTTGCATATTCTGTGACAATATTGTCTGTAAATCCAGATCCCCTAAACGTATACGTATTGCTTGCTATACTCATGAAGGAACAAATAATTTACCCAACGAAATATACATATTGTATCGCCTTTTATAATGTTCATGGACGTTAAAAATCAGATAAACTAAGGAAATGGTTAACTCATTTAATGTTTGATTTGTTTAATAAGGCATAATGTAGGCCTACTTAGCTACAGCAGCGTCCAATCGTACAAACACGAAAACGGACGCTCTTAATCAATGATCAGTTCGCATTTCCACATCCAAAAGTATTTTATTTTTATTTTCAGTTTATGCATAATGTGCAGTGTCATTTTTATATATTTACATGGATTATATTTAAAAATACATTCTTACAGTTAATTTCATGTTTCAAAAACGTTAATACGCTACAATTTCAAGACAACAGTAAGCGTTCTAAAATGCTGAAAATCATATGCGTTCAAAGTATAATAAGGAATACACTCATTTACAAATAAGTGATAAATAATTTTATTTAAATAATATTTTATTAAAATAAATATATTTGCTACGAGTAACTTACAAATCAACGTTTATAGGGACAACATTTTGGGCCGATATTAACGAAATCCTTGAATGCCAAGCTTGTTAATAAGCATTAATTTTTCGATATTGTAAGATGCCCAGCGTTCGCAAAATATAACTACATTGTATACAGTATATGAGGTATAGATTAGGTCGAATTATTTATAATGAACAAAACAAACATTACGTTGCATTCATATTCATGAATATTTTATTTCCAATACATGAATTTCAAGTATTTACTTCATTTGTACACTAAATTACGTTAACAGATACAATCTAACAAACATCAGCGTTGCAAAAATACGAAAATTACGTGCGTTCATAGCACAAAAAAAGTTACCTCAGTTAGTTTGCAACACAATTTGTTTAATTACTTGACCAGAAACGTATTATTAACTATTCATGGGGATATTATTGAATCTACTATATTCGGGCCGATATTCCATTAAACCTTGCCAACTTGGTTAAAACGCATTTATTATACGATGTTGTAAGATACCCAGCGTCTGTTAAATTAACTTAAATCAAACTGAGACCGGTCAATTTATTAAGACCGATCTAAACAAACATAAATAAATAAGAATAGATTATTCATTCTCAGTTGATGACATATTTCCCTGTGTATATAATCGCGTTATTTTGGGCCGATTTTGGGCCGATCTTGGCACTTTAGCGACATACTTTTTCCCATCGGCCGAATCGGCCCAATGGCACTCAAAGGGTTAATTGAGCACATCTTTGTTTTATGCAATGATGCGGGTCATGAAATCTAATAAAAGTATAATATTTTGATTTGATATCTCATCAAAATGTACTGAATTTAACTCTCATACTGGCATCCTTTCTAAGTGTAATATTTTGATTTGATATCTCATAAAAATGTACTGAATTTAACTCTCATACTGACATCCTTTCTAAGTGTAATATTTTGATTTGATATCTCATCAAAATTTACTGAATTTAACTCTCATACTGACATCCTTTCTAAGTGTAATATTTTGATTTGATATCTCATCAAAATGTACTGAATTTAACTCTCATAATGGCATCCTTTCTAAGTGTAATATTTTGATTTGGTATCTCATCAAAATGTACTGAATTTAACTCTCATACTGGCATTCTTTTTAAGTGTAATATTTTGAAAAATGTACTGAATTTAACTCTCATAATGGCATCCTTTCTAAGTGTAATATTTTGATTTGATATCTCATCAAAATGTACTGAATTTAACTCTCATACTGGCATCCTTTCTAAGTGTAATATTTTGATTTGGTATCTCATCAAAATGTACTGAATTTAACTCTCATACGGGCGTTCTTTTTAAGTGTAATATTTTGAAAAATGTACTTAATTTAACTCTCATAATGGCATCCTTTCTAAGTGTAATATTTTGATTTGATACCTCATCAAAATGTACTGAATTTAACTCTCATACTGGCATCCTTTTTAAGTGTAATATTATGATTTGATATCTCATCAAAATGTACTGAATTTAACTCTCATAATGGCATCCTTTCTAAGTGTAATATTTTGATTTGGTATCTCATCAAAATGTATTGAATTTAACTCTTATACTGGCATCCTTTTTAAGTGTAATATTTTGATTTGATGTCTCGTCAAAATGTACTGAATTTAACTCTCATAATGGCATCCTTTCTAAGTGTAATATTTTGATTTGTTATCTCATCAAAATGTATTGAATTTAACTCTCATACTGGCATCCTTTTTAAGCGTCGATATCTCATCAAAATGTACTGAATTTAACTCTCATACTGGCATTCTTTCTAAGTGTAATATTTTAATTTGATATCTCATCAAAATGTACTGAATTTAACTCTCATACTGGCATCCTTTCTAAGCTAAACACTGATATACAACTTAGAATTGACATCAATTACATGTATATATCAGATAAATTAAATATATTTCTGTGTACATTTAGACCAGTGTAAAGCAAAATTGTAAAATATTATTTTGATATTTTTTTTGATTATTTAGTTGAGTTCATTTAATCATTTTGCATAATATGTTTTGTAAACACTGAAGAACCATTATTTTTATTTTACTTTAATTTGTTTTATCAAATAAATGTGCATAAGAAAAAGTTACACCCCAGCAGCTATTCGAAATAATCAGACAGTCTCGGAGATTAAAAATCACAAGCACTAAATGCTGTCTTATAAAAAGAATGCTTATTAGGAGAATATGTTTTCATACCATAATTAAAACAAAACAAATTGGCCAATTGATAATTTTTGGCAGGTAACAATTATCTGCACTTGTCCCATGGGGACGGAGTTAATTCTTGCTTCCAGGATTTAATGTTTGATATTCACTGTAGGTTGGGTTCACTAATGAAAAACAACACCGTAGGGATAAAAACAAATGTTACAGCTTCTCGATATTCTTTTTATTATCCTTCAATCATTTGAAACATGACAACGACATTAGAAGGAACAAAACATTTATCTAGCTTGAGGTGTTTCTTTAGTTTGACTTCGATATTTCATGAGAAATCACTTAGTTATTTTAACTTTAGTCTTATTAAAGATAAAAGGTATTATATTTCAAGCATTTATGACATGAAAATAGCATTAAAAGAAAAAAAAATATTCAAGTTGCAGATTCAATATTTTTATTGTAAACTATTCGAATATTCTAGAAGAAATAGACCAAAACTCAGTTAACTGAGGTTTTAGAAGACCTAAAACTTTTATTTCCATTTTACTTTTGGTGGAAGTACAGACGAAATGCAAGATGGGAAGCATGTTGCCTAGTACACTGTATGAAACTATACGATAAATTGTCATTACCGGGAAACAATTTGGATATATATTTCACTATTAATTGGTAAAATATCTTATAATTTTTCAGTTATATGAATGTGTATATTATAAGTATGCTCATTTATTTTCAGAGTATGAAATCAATACATGCGGCTCACAGGGTAATATTGGACCAACACCACTCCAGTGTAAATCTGTCTACAAGTATACTAATGTGAACATCACAGTACAAACAACGCCACCTTTTGAGGGAATGCAAGTCTGGGTTGTGCCAGAGACAGCAAAATATAGGTTTGAGCTAGTTTCAATTTTTTTATTTATTTATTTATTTAGTTTATGCACAAAAATTATTCACTGTAAGATAATCTAAAATATGTGAGTGTCAATGAGAAAATACTAAAAATGAGTACAGCAATAAAAGAAAACATTTAAAAGTACACCAGACATAAAGAAAATAAACCCCAACTATCTTGAATAAAACATAGAGAAATAAAATATTCTTAACAATAGTTTTTTTTTTCTAATAATTGATAATAAACGTGATAATTTATCTATTTTTTATTCATTGGCATGGCCGCTGATTATCAGGCATAGGTCTAAACTTTTACAACAATAACAATATGAATACAGTTATCAGAGAATATTATAAAATTGTTGACCTCTCAAGAGGTCAACCGGCAAAATTGTATATTGAGACTGTAAACCGAGAAACTACTGTTGACTGAGACCGAAGGTCGAGGTCAACAGTAGTTTCAAGGTTTACAGTCGAGGTATATGATTTTGACGGTTGACCGAATGGAGAGGTCTACAATTGTTTTGTTAGTCCGAAGAAACTAATAATACACATATGTAGACGACAATCATTAATCGGCATGGCTTCATTTCACCATGGACTTCTAACTTATTTGAAGTCCATGATTTCACAATCTTTTCTCCGAACCACGCCAGCAATGCGTACTCATTATTAGTAAATTAATGTTAATTTTACTTTTCTATTTGTATTTTTGCTATACTTGTCGTCTAGTAAAGCCAAAATATCACATTCATCAATGTTTAAAAAGGTCAGTCTGCCATGTTTTTCTTCAAACATTATGACGTCATATTCCCATAATTCACAAGTGTAGTGCAGTAACAAATGCGGTCAACAATATGATATCCCATGATGCACAGGTGGGGTACAGGCAAAAATGTTGACCGCTAATTGACCAATCAGATGCGAGTATTCACACTGAGGTACTAACAAATTAAAATGTATAGAGTATTGATTCTGTTTCCTTAGTTGTTATGCTACAGTAATATAATATAGGAACAAAAAAATTGCTCATTGTTTAAACACATCTCTATGAAGACATTGAATGTAAGCGAATTAAACTCTTACATAGACAATGGAGACAATGGATACAATTGTTCCCAAATGATAATGGAAATGTCCCTTGTCCAGCGATGCTTTGTGTGCTTGAATAATGTAACTCCATCAAAGGTGCATCTGAGATTATAATTAGATCTCTTGTCTTGTCTTTTGTGCTCTCTCATCAAGAAATATTAGCCTTAGATCTTTCTTATTGTTGATGAGACCCGAAGGATATATGGCTAATCATTTTAATTATTTAAAACTGGGTAACTCCCAAAAATGTAGTTTTCTAGTTTTGAAATAGTTTCCTCAATACCTTTGTAAACATCATTTGAGAAATATTCCTCTATCAATGAAGTTGCGAATCAATTGTATAACTTTTATTGATTTTTGAATCTGAATGGTGGAAATTTTTTCACAATACAATTTTTCCATGATGGAGTCATTAAGATTCAATGTTAGTTTCACATTTGATATATTTTAAATAGTCGAAATATATTTAAAACATCAAATAAGAAAATATATTTTAAATTAAAAAAAAATCTGAAAACAAAGCAATTTTTTCAAAAACATCAAATAAGAAAAGTAAATGTTGAGAACTTCAAATTAGAAAAACGTATGTCGAATAAGAAAAAATAATGTTAAATTTAAACTGAAATTTTTAGTTTAATCCTTTTGAATCCCCAAAATGGAACATCATAGCTATTATTGGTCTTGCAATGAAAGATTTTTTCAGTGTTTGACATCTAGATTTTTGGTGTTCGATGTTTAATTTTCCCTTTTCGAAGTTGTTTCTTCGCAGGTTGATAGATGTGTAATTAGTCACTTAAAATATCAAACACTGAAGATTTATTAAACAACATTAATAAATTTAATAAAAACTTTGAAAGTTTGAATTATAAAGTGTAATATCAAACAAGAAATATGGATTATCATACAAAGAATTGAAAAAAATTGACAAAAATTTGAAAGTTTGAATTGATAAGTGAAAATTCAAACATGAAATTGAAAGTATCGAATAAAGACGCTAAAAAATGCCATAGCCAGGATGGGGCAGAGGAGGCAATTCTATGCATGTAAAAAATAAAATACAAGACAAATTTGCAATGAGTATATCCTGTGAGAATATTTAGTGCTTTTACAGCTTGCCTCGATGCACAAATTGTAATATAGCATCAACAAATTTGTGATTTATATATTAAATTCGAATACTAAGCACTTTTAATGGAACAGTTTGCTAAGAGAAAATCGTGCAGAATGTTTTTGTATAATTTGGATAATTCTACCTCACATTAAAGCACTATATAAATGTATAGGTGTTTATATGTGCATCGATAATTGAATGATATTTGAATGATAATTGAATGATAAGTGATTTCCCTGCAATCAAGTTTATGTTGAATCCATGTCTGTGTCCAGTTTTTATTGATCCGGTTTTCATTGACTACCCAGGCCCAGCGAACCCCCCCCCCCACCAAAAAAAAAATATTTCAAAATCCTGCAGTTTTTCACAATTCTGACCATTTTTTTATTGATTTTTCAGCCAAAGTTGTCAAAAGTGAATCCCCCAGGAATTTTTTAAGAAATGAACCTCCCTTGGCAAATCCTGGCTATGGGCCTGCTACCGATGTTAATTGATTGGTGCGTTAACTTGATTGTAGGGAAATTACTTTTTATTAAACATCACTCATTACTTCCAGTTCTTCTCGTGAGGTTTTTATATGGCTATTCTATTTTAATGTCTGAGTAATTGATTTTCTGAAAAAGAATCTAATTTGTTTTTTCTATATGAAGAGATTACGTATTTGATTTAATCCATTCACCAGTCTTCCAGTTCTTTTTGTTTTATGAGGTTTCAATTGAATTACCAAAATTGTTAATTAATACAATTAATTTCATATCACCTCCAAATGTAAAAGATTCAAGGGGGGGGGGTGTATAGAGGGTCTTGGAAATGCATATACAATATTTTTCAGCTCTCTTATACCATATACAATATTTTTTCACCCCTTTTATACCATATACAATATTTTTCACAGCTCTTATACCATATACGATATTTTAGGTAAAATACAATATACGATAATTTTGAAACTGCTTTTGATTAAAGTTTGGATATTTATAAGGAAATAATATTATATTAGGAGAGAATCCATGTACTAAAGTAAATGTATATAGACTCCACAAAACAATGATTTCATTTATTTCATTATGAATTAGACACCATTCGGGTACATCAGCATCAGAAAAGCTGTGACCACATTTTATTTTCAGGTAAACAAGTTGATTTAAAACACAATTATGATATAAGATTCATGACTTCTCTTTACTGATTTAACAACCTACTTTGACCAAAAAACTAACTTTGACATTGCTGCAATTTGCTAAAGCCATTAGCCCATTACCTGTAAAAGTAGTCAAACCACATGTTTCACAAATTATTTCAAGGCAAAGATGTATTGATGAGAATGAAAACTACTCTATGTAACTAGAAATAACTTTCTTTTAAAGGACCATGGACGGTATCGCAACAGATTTCAGTCATATATTGGATTTTGGCTATTTTCTGAGGATTTGAACAGGTGCATATGTTAGGCCAATGCATTGACTCCAGGACAAGCAGTCATAGAGATTATAAAATAATTTGGACTTTAAGACAGGGAAGGTGCAAACACCCCATCAAACATTGAAAAAACATATGTGGAAAGGGCTGAAAATAAGGACAACATTTCAGAAAAACCTTCCCTGTCTCAAAGTCTAAATTATTGGCCTAACATATGCACCTGTTCAAATCCCCAATAAATAGCCGAAATCCAACACATGACGGTTTGAAGACCAAATAAACACCTTTTGCTATATTATGCTATATTAGCATTGTGATGCTTGTATTAAAACATGCGCTGTATGAACACTTTATACTCAAATATTTTCATGATTTATCCCACATACCCCGAAACACGAGTAGCCATAGTGACCATATTTTTCACCAAAGTTAAGATGAGTCAATGACATTTGTCAGTCTCACGCCCGGTGATCTGATGAAATGAACGGAGGGGGAGTAGCTGATTTTCGGTAAATTCAACAAATGTTGAAGATTCATTTTTTCAAGAAAAAGTTTACAATTGAATGGCTACATGAATAGGTGCAGAGCACAGGGAAATATGTTAGGTCTTCTTGGATTTTTTTTTGAACTGATGGAGTTCTAAGATAAAAGGTCTATTAAAAAGGCGCAGCGTCGCCAACGTGCAAAATGCCAATGTTTTTGCTATAAATCAAGCAACAATGGTCTGCACGACATGTAATAAATATATAAGCGACATTTTTATATCACAAAATTCATTGCCGGTTTTTTAAAATAATTTTCCAAATGATAGATAAAATATAATCGAAAATAATTAAAATTGAACGGGGGGGAGTGAACAGAGGGGGGGGGGGAGTAAAATGTCTTTAAGGTGGAAGAAATTTCCACAAATTTGTGTACTTGAAAAATGAACTCACTACAACTCTGAAAAGTGAAAAATGGGGACATATGGATTTATTGGAAGTTTTCATATGTCTTATAGACAAATTACTCCCCCCTCCATTCAATTTTAATAATTTTCGATTACTTTTTATATAACGTATGGTAACATGTTTTACAAAACCCAATAGTTTTGTGATAATTACTTCACTTACAAGTATTTATTACAGGTCATGGAGACCCCTGTTGGTTGATTTATAGCAAAAACATTGGCATTTGCACGTTGGCGACGCTGCACTTTTTTAATAGATCTTTTATTTTAGAACTCCACAGTTAAAAAAAATCCAAGAAGACCTAACATATTCCCCGTCTACTGCGTCTATTCATTTAGCCATTCAATTGTAAACTTTCTCTTGAAAAAATAAATCTTCAAGATTTGTTGAATTTACTACCGAAAATCAGCTAGATCTACTCCCCCCTCCGTTCATTTCTTCTGATCACCGGGGGTGATTCTTATTTGAGACTATATTTAACACCTCCTGTGAAAATTTGAATGAAAAGGGCACAAAACTCTTAGTTTGAGAGGGATTTTCTCTAAACTAACAGTATCGATTGACCTGGAATTTGAAACCAATTATAGAAACTACTTTTCCATGTTTTTCCAACATGGTTACAGTAAGAGAGTTGGCACAATGGGGGAACTTTAGGGTACAAATACTTCATAATTAGCCTTCTTTAATTCTAGATACCATATACCATATATTTTCCATAATACCATATACCATATTTTTTACACCTCTTATACCATATACGATAAATTTTGCCCCCTCTTATACAATATACAATAAATTTTCAGCCTCTTATACGATATACAATATCTCTATACACCCCCCCCTTCAAGGAAGTTACTTTATTTTTGATGAGTTCATCATTCTCTACAGTGATTTAAAATCTGGTTCAAAAAAAGTTTTTTTGTCGTAACAAATCAAAGGTTCTATTGTCATTTTACAAGGTAAATCAAGCTAAATAAATTGCTACTTTTAAGTTAATGATTTCCTGGGGGGAAATACTTAAAAGAACATACATATAATTACAAGTCAAGGTAAATCAAAACATCATCTCAACTAAAAGGTTGTAAAATAATCATGGTGTGTTGTAAAATAATCATGGTATGTTGTAAAATAATCATGGTATGTTGTAAAATAATCCTCCTTATTAAAGTATTGAAAGTATTGTAGTGCTCTCTTTTCATCATTTTGTTTACTACTGATAGTGACAATGGTTGTAGGTATCAAAAGTTCTTAGATAAAAAATGTATACAGTTTTTTTCTATATGGTTGCCTTACATCCTGTTACAGTTTCTGGATATTTTTGATTGATCTTTTTATTTATTACTTATTTTTATCTATAATTTATTTATGCATATTGAAATTGAAATGAAATTGGAATCGAAATGTTTTATTCTGGATATCATAGTAGCCATTGTGTAAAATGTCATCATACATTGGGATACTGCAATGGGTTTATCCTCAGGAGGATATTATATCAGCCCTCAGGATAATTCCAATAAACAATTTCTACTTAGATATAACCTCTCTTAATCATTTTACTCATATGCCCTATCTCAATGATTTTTCCTTGTCATACAAAAATGAACATATAGTAAAACCTGTGTATCTGAATGCTTCTGCAAATCTATATGTGAACACTTTTTCTCCGTCCCAATTTTGTCCTACTGACTCACATATTAACAAAACCTTGAATAGTGAAGACCTCCTAATCCAAATACCTTTGACAAGTCCCATTGGCATTCATATTAGACGGGTTTAACTGTACTAAATGTCAGAAGGCGGTCACTAGTAACCATGACAGCGATAAATACTTGAATGTACCATTCCATCAAGATGTATTCCTTGAATACAACTTGCAGATAAATTGATAGATGAATTGAAATTCAGCTCATTAGAATGAAATATTTTTGATTAATATCAGAATGGTCTTCTAACATACGTACGTCATTATAGGATAATCTCTTTGTGTCTTATAAAGTACATTTGTACATTTGCAAAATATGTCACTATTAAAGGTTTATGTCGGTTTTCCACTTTCTAAATAATTAATCAACTTATTAATACAAAGTGTCAACTGTTCTTTTATCTTCTAATCTTCTTATTATATTAATTCATTGAGACTTGTAAACTCTTCGTTAAATAACATCATCCCGATAAGACCCGTAACATTAGATACTTTAATGATACAGGCTTGTATACGCCAGTTTTTGCCAAGGGAATAATTTTTAAAAAAATTCCAGGGGGTCACATTTGACCATTTTGGCCCAAAATCACTAGGACAGTGCTCAGAATGGTGAAAAAATGTATGATTTTGAAAAAACTTTTGGCTGGGGAGACTTAACCCCCCCCTGGTTACTTACGGGTTATGGGTCTGGATATTTTAATCAATGTAAGAATGGGTTTCCTTTGAAAGCCCATGATGTAATCCAATGCTCCTTTCAAACCATGTACGAAATTGATTCCCAATGTAATAAAAGGGTATGTCACTGTATCAATGTTATGCAAAATGAACCCCTGTAAATGTCCCAATTGCGCTGGTGCTACATGTATGTACATGTTAAGAATATGTAACCAATTAACCAAGAAATTAACTGAATGTGACTATTCTGTATGCTTTCAAGCTAATAACTCTGCCATTACTATCACCTACTTTTCTGTCTATCTGTTAAAAGAAGAAATTATAAGGCAATTCAAATGTCAGTAGCTCTATTTAAACAGGATAGAGAAGCTGATTGTCACATAACAAGGCCCTTAATCATCAAAAAGGGAATAACCTCCCATTGAACCAGGCCAATTAAAAAACTGGGTACATGAAAGAGGTAATTATGGTGACAGCGATGAACTATGGGTAATCTCATCCTCTTTTTATCACCATAGTTTTTGTGTCTGTAACAGCGATATAAATATGATGTTTGCTTACAATGTTTGCTTAAATATGATGTTTGCTTACAGCATCACAGCCCTTGGTGCAAGTGGAGGGAATGGTTTGAAACAACAAGATATGAAGTTACGACGTGGAGCTTTTGCTCATGCAGAATTCAACTTCACAGAGGGAGAGATACTTTATATCCTCGTGGGGCAGGAGGGTCAGACTCCTTGTAGTCAGGTAAGCAAAGTTTAAAAGCCAAAAAGAGCAAATCCACTTATAAACTTTTATGTAAACCTACACTCCACCCGAAGTGAATCCACAAATTACATCATTTTACTGTTATGGTTAATGAACCTAGAATTTGAGTATTCTATTTATTGCCTAAAGTGAACTTAAGCGTGCATTTGCAAATACAACTATCCGCTACCAGCTAATGAGTTGATTGCAATTTGATGGCAAACTCATTAAAATATGAATAATATCTGCCATCCATGCCAGTAGCTGCAAGCTGTCGTGTCAAACCCAAATAGTATGACTTATGCTGGGTTAATCTGCCTATTTAAGCAGCTAGTAACAATGACTTACGATCTGTTCGCTATTTCAATCGAGCAGCTTTATTGTATGATCCTTACAGTGACATAAAAAGTCACATGATCACTGTTCATCGACAAACTAATTGTTCGTTATTTCAACTTCAAAATGATGGGTTAATCTGTGCAAATTAATAGCCAGCATCCAATAGTTGCATTCAAGATTACAAGCTAAGTGTAGGTTCATTTAGGTGGTTCACCTTAAGCAGCCCTGATCCCTAATTAGCATTTAACATAAAACAGATTTGTCATGGGATTTTAATAAACGAATAAACCAAGCAAACAAGCAAGCAAACCGTATCTTAGGTATCAGCATATATAAATGATAATAAAAGTGAACCGACCAAAAGGCTGGGGAAGAAATTGTTTTTAAATGAATGACCAATTGTATCACAAAACAGATACTACATGGGTGTAGTTTGGATTCGAAATTGGTGAGGCAAATTTTAATATGTGAGGCAAATTTAAATATGTGAGGTAAATTTAAATATGTGAGGCAAATTTAAATATGTGAGGCAAATTTAAATATGTGAGGTAAATTTAAATATATGAGGCAAATTTAAATATGTGAGGCAAATTTAAATATATGAGGTAAATTTAAATATGTGAGGCAAAGGACGATTCTCGGTTTGGAGAACGAAGTTCATCAATCTAAATGAGCATTATCCCTGCTTCGGACAAATTTGATTTTTTTACATAATATAGATTTGAATGTCCTCTTTTGAATAATCATAATTTAATTTGGGTAATATTTCTAGATTTTTCGCAAAAAAATATTAGCGCAGTACACTGATGAACTTCTTTCCCCAAATCGAGACTTGTATTTTATTGAATCGGTCTGATTGAGCGTTATCCCTGCTTCAGACCAATTTGTTATTTTTACATCTTGTAGATTTAAATGTCCTGTTTTGAATATTCATAGTTTAATTTGGGTAATATTTCTATATTTTTCATGAAAAAAATTATTAGCCCAGGAGACTGTTCTCCAAACCGAGAATCGTCCTTTAAATATGTGAGGTAAATTTAAATATGTGACGTAAATTTAAATATGTGTGGCAAATTTAAATATGTGAGGTAAATTTAAATATGTGAGGCAAATTTAAATATATGAGGTAAATTTAAATATGTGAGGCAAATTTTACAAGAAAAAAGTTTTCCTCATCTATGGAGAGTATAGCATATTTGATAAAGCTTCTAAATGCCTTGCAAATTGTCACATATTCTCATATAATCCTCTTGATGCTTGGAGATGTACTTCAGGAATCATTGGTATAAATAAATATTGATAACAATAAAAAGATATAGAAATAAAAATGCCTCGCCTGCCTATAGCTTAGCTATACTCAAGTACCATACTGATTTATTGCAGTAAATGTGCCATCTTGATTCACTAAAACAGGAAATATGTTTCTCCCGCATCACTCCCTGACATGCTTGTTAGCTCACATGGTGAGCTTTTGCAATCACTCACTTGTGAATTATAAGTTAGGATTACATAATACTCATTCATCATGTCTTGTTGGCTATTAGTACCACACCGCTTTGTCAATTTGTCACTTAAAACCCCTAGCTTAATTTTTGTCGCCTTGAAAATGCCTAACACCTTAGAAACACTCTGGTTCCACATTTGATGCCTTTAGGGAGCATTTCAAAAGTTCAATGTTGGAACAGCCTTAAAAGTGAGATACAATGCAAAAGATAATTTTGTGCTGATACTGTACGAAAATACAGATTGGAATAATTATAGAAAATTGACTGGATTACATATTATGTTTTATATAACGCAATAATGCAATCAACATTTCTCAAACACAGTTAGGGGGGATGGAGGGATGTTACAGATTAAATATTCAAAAACAGTTTGTTTGAGATGTTCCCTCATAGACTTTCCCATAAATCTTTGCATTAATTTGTTAGTTCAGGAAAGATAATTTCACAACACAGGATCAAATCCAAGGCTGCAGGGCTGATATGGAAAGTCACTCCATATCCCTTTTAGTCTATATAAACAATCACTGATCGCTTTAAGTAAAGCGTAACATACACAAGATGGGGGATTGGGGGTGAATGATGAGAAAATATCACATCCATTAGGATTATTTTTAATTGGCTCTCAGAACATTGAATTGAGACTTGGGGTTCCCATAGTCTAATCTTTTGACACCATCGTCTAATGCATTGAACAAAGGAGTCCGTTAACACAAATGTGGCACAATAGCAAAAACTTCATTAATCTAAGCATGCAAAGAATGGAAAGTTACCTACTATTACCGAGTCCTCATGATGACTTTGATTCGCTAATAATCAACAGTATCTTGGGCGATGAATTCGTATGATCTGCGATCCGATCCGGATAAATTTTGACATGGTAATGATGCATTGTGGGATTAATTCAAAATCGATGAATTTGTACGATTATAGTCTCAGGATAAATCTCAACCCACCTCTTGAGGTGGATTACTTTTTGGATAAATTTTATCCGAATTCCAATGTAAATTGGATAAATCTTGGGGATTCCCCCTAATAATCCTCTGATCGTACAAATTCACCAAATATTTATCGGATTAGTAATCCAAGATTTATCCCAAAAGATAAAATTTATCCAGATGGGATTGGGGATTGTACAAATTCACAGCCCCTGGAGAGAAACTAAAGAATTATTGTATAAAGGTAGTGAAAATGCCAATGGGATATTATTTCTTTCAGAGTCTGTACATGTATTTTTATTTTGATAACCCCAGGATCTGAGATTGAATGTCTTACTATATATGGCATTTTCTTTTGGCAAACAATATGTAATGGTCCTTACATATAATATGGCTCCTATTATTTTTGAAATAACATTATTATTTACCAATGGGAGGCTCTGAATCAGAATATATGAACAGCGCCTTATATATATTAGTCAATGGGAGATAATTAAACCTCCATTATGTCCCATAATTACATGCCAATGTGGCTAGAAAATACAGCACAAAAGACATCTGAATTCAACTTATTGAAGCACTTCATACTTTTGTCACTGAAGGGCATTGGAGAATAGTTTGTGTTTGTTGAAACAGTAGATGGTAGGGGTCATTAGACGGCCCTCGGGTCAGACTTTCTTTGGTCATTTATTGACCATGAATTAATCAATTACCAGAGGTAATAGTACAGTATTGAGTTTTCTGAAGCGGAAATTGAAGTCAGGTCAGTTTTTTTTGTAAGACAGATTGTCATTCAAAAAAATATTTCCGGGGAAAGACATCAAAAAGATGAATGCTGAAAAAAACAAATGCGTTTCGTTTGATATTTTCACACGAATTGTGTATATGTCACGCATTTGCTTTGAATTTTTTTGCCCATACCCCCTGTGTCTCCTGTGTAATTTCAATTGGAGAGGTTTCCTCAAAAAGAATTTTGATTTTAGAGACCTATAACACGAAACATATCATTTTTGGTTACTAAAGATAGCTTTACTTATGGGGGAGTTACAATCGCCAAACATTTGGAGCAGAGTGTAAGACAATGAACGCTGGTGGTCCAAGTCTTTTCCATATACATGTACTGCCAATTTCCTCTGTGTTTTGGCTCGGCCATTACTGATCATGAGCTCTTGAAACCAAAGTAGAATTTTGACTCATAGATGAATATTCTTACTTTTAATTACATTTATAGATATATTCTTATTGATTAATAGCCCAAATCATTGATTATAGATCCCTTTAACGTGTGTACACTGATTGACAAAAACATAATCACGGGGGATTTAAGTTGCCCATTTTGGCCCGAACCCAAGAACCCGCAGCTTGTGGGCCTAGAGGGCCACCCCACCTATCCATAATGGATGGATGAAAGCTTTGTGATAAATATGATTTCTTATGTCATTTTATTAGTCTAGTCTATATCCTGTAGTGAAGCTTCCAAGATGAACCAACCTTCAAGGTCCATATATATATTGCATGACATGACACTGGGTAAATCCATATATCAATTGATATGATAAAAATAAACCTTATACAAATGTTTAGCATCCAAAACTGAATATATTACTTATTGAAAGTAATATTTTTATTTTATTAAAAAATGAGCTGTTTAAAACCTGTTGCGTATTTAGCCACCAAGGTCGGAACTTGAAGGAAGTCATTCATATTATATTCCATAACCGTCAGCTAGAAGATCATATATCTACATGATTGATGACAAAATTCCTTCAATGAATTTGATAGTTTATCGAACTTTGAGTACTTTAGGGCCATTAATTTTTCTGAAATGAGGATAATTTCTTAATAGTCGGAAAGATTTAAATAATTCATCAATTCTGACTCCCATTAACCTAGAAATAAGTAAAACTGATTTATTCTCCACAGTTGCTTAATGGTAGGAAGGGTTCTTCATTTAGATTCATGGGATAACTTTGATATTTACACTTCTATGGATAATAACCTATTTTACCTAATGTGCCAGGACACATTTTATTCTTTTTCTCACGATTAATAACAAGTAAGGACAAAAAGAAGATATAAAAAAAGATACCCGTAAACATCTTGTTAACCATAAAATTCAAACAATATGACTGACCCATTGTATAATTCAGACAGTATATGAAAAATGTACCATACTTATATTCTTTATTTCCACCCACAGTATAAAATATTATCGTATGATCTGTAAAATGAAGCCTTCTGATTGGTCAGTTCTTGTGCTGTACCAATCTGTATTGCTACTGAGATTGTCCCCATTGATCATTTTCGTCACAATACAGAAAATATTGGTACGGATGGGACATTATCAGTAGCAATACAAAGGATCACACGATAAAAACGTTATAGAATGATTTATAGGACTATGATGATACAATTCTGCAATTAGTTAACTTCTATCCTTCCAATATATTTATCTCCATTTATTAACCTTACCTCACATAATACTTAACATTTGACAATGAACTTTTAAATTTCAACATATTTGTGTCTCACCTGTCAAATCCCGATTTGAATTAAGGGAGAAATCCTGATTTTTTATTGGTCGTTCCGATTTTTCTTTCAAAATCCTGATTTTCAAAAACCCCTTTTTATCCCGATTTTAGGAAAATATCCAGATTTTTTGTAAAATGTCCTCATTTTTTCATTAAATATCATAATTTTGTGTTCAAAACTTCCAATTTGTTAACGAGACATCCCAATATTTCAGTAAAAACTCAAGATTTTTAAATGATACCCCCGATTTTTGTTCAAAACTGAAAACAAATATGCTAATGCATTTTTGTGATAAAACAAAATAGCTGACTACACATCCATTTGCTTATTTAATCTTTTTTAAACTATTTGAAACTAGAATTTAATTTTATCGATCGTTCTGGGACTGAGATATTCAATAAAACACACTGAATGCATACGTTTTAATGACAAGTACATTGCATGATCAAAACGTCAAGATGTCAGGGTGTATTCACATTAATCAAAACCTGATTTTCTCCCGAATTTTTCAGCAATCCCGATTTTCTTCCAATTTCTTTTTAGAAATCAAGATTTTCGCCAGATTTTTTCATAGAAATCATGATATGATATCATAGTACAGTATCCTGATTTTCATTTTCTTTACTTGACAGGCATGTCGGATGCTTATGAAGTGGCTATGGAGGAGTGTTTTTCTTTCATCTTCAAAAAGTTTACATTCTAAGATATAATAGTACTCTTCTCTAGTCTGTTGCATTTAGAACATAATCTCTCTAACCTTAGTCTTTTTATGTAACACCCTGTCTCTATAGGGAGATTATGAATGAATGTTCTAAATATTCTTAAAAAATCCCTATACTTCAAATATATGATTTCAGATAGCCTTGCCCAAGTCGGTCTCTTTTACTTATCTTGATTTCTAGTAATAATTCAAGATCAGATAAGTAAAAAAATACAGACTTTGGCATTATAGAAATAGAATAGAAATCAAGATAAGTAAAAGAGACCGACTTGGGCAAGGCTAGATTTCAGACTAGTATGCTGAATAGAGGAATATGACTACAGAATCCTAATATTACAAATGTATATGATTTCAGACGAGTATGTTGAACAGAGGAATCTGTGGTGGGCATGAGGAATATGATTCAGCGGTTCCTGGTGGAGGCGGTGGCGGTGGAGGAGGATCATTTGTCTTTAAGGTAAATCAGGGAGTACCCTTTCCAAAAATTCAACACTTGAGTAGTAACACTGTCTTAAGGAGATGATTTGATGAACGAATCTGATTTTGCTGTTTTCCATTGACTCCCATACAAATGCTTCACATGGTATGTTATAAAGTACAATATCATTTAGTTATCTTACTTCATTTGAAATTGTCTAATCATCTGTTATAATAAGGGTTACAGTATTACATTGAGATGCAGTGTAATTACTTCATCTGAGGCTCTACTTTTTCTAATTTGGTATTTTATTGGATTTTTTGAGAAAAATGTAAAGTTTCTGCACAAATGAATAACTGTAATGAATAAATCTTTGCACTTTACATATTTTGTGGATAGTGGTTGGCATTTGGCATTTTGTCATTTGCCAGTCAGCATCTGGCAAGTAGTGTATTTTTATTTATTTACATCAATAAAATAGGCCTCGGGGTATAGGTAATTTGCAGATTTTACCTAAAAACACTCCTACTACATCAGGCCAACATTTTCCTCTTATATTCACGTCGGGAAAGGGTTGATGCCTTGTTTGAGTTTGTAGTACTATATCGACATAGATATATATGGCAGATGACATCTGACTAGCTAAAGCCCTTGTAGGAATAAATATTCAGATCCAATCACTATTGGAAAAGCAATTATGTTCGCATGTGGGTTGGAAAAAGCTCTTCCTTTAAAGCAGAAAGGTGTTAAAAACAATTTTTAACTATTCTATTTTAATTAGTTAAAGAAATCACTTTTCCAAATAGTCATTAACACTTGGGAATGTCATTTAGCAGTTAGCCAAATGTATAGCATGCACGAGTAGGGACATTTCCTAAAAATAGGTGAGGCAAATTGAAATTGGTGAGGCAAATTGAATTGGGTGAGGCAAACTAAAATAGGTGAGGCAAATTGAAATTTGTGAGGCTTATTGAAATAGTTGAGACAAATTGAAATTTGTGAGGCTTATTGAAATAGTTGAGGCAAATTGAAATAGATGAGGCAAATTGAAATAGTTGAGGCAAATTTAAATAGGTGAGGCAAATTTAAATAGGTGAGGCAAATTGAAATTCACGAGGCAAATTAGAATTTGTGAGGCTTATTGAAATAGATGAGGCAAATTGAAATTTGTGAGGCAAATTGAATAGGCAAGCCAACTATGGGTTAAATGCGATTGATTTGATAGTCAGAATATAAACTCTTTTTCTGTAAAACTATGTTGTAATCAAAGCTTCCACAAATTAACTTCTTCATTTCCTGTACTACGTTTAAGTTATATGGAGATGCCATTAGAGGTTGCAAATGAAACCATAAGTAATTTATAAATTGTTTTTAAGAATACTAAATGAAAATTAAGGAAATGATAAAATGAATTTAGTAAATAATGGGTTTCGTATTTCAGTTTGAAATGATCACAAATGGATGCTATTGCTTATGAAATCAGTTTTGCCATTTATCTGTGGGAAATTGTTTTGAAATTACGTATAGAGATGAAGATGATGAATTCTTATTAAAATTATTTTGTTTGTACTCCTGACTGTAATAGTCATAAGGCACGCTGTTATAAAACTGTGCTTTGAGAAAAACATCATTGTAATGGCTTATAGGCTCTTTTATCACACTTTGAAAAATATTACGTGTCGTTTGTGCTGATGGGTGAGTATGCATCTGATTGGATACTGGGTAGGCAGGCGGCACACAAATATATTCATCAAAATTCCAGGAAAAGCGCTTATCTGTTCTAACTGAAATTTTAACAGATGCAAGAGCAGACTAGGTTTTGGGAATACTGGGTAAATTACATGACTGTCATTTTGATCTGCAAAGTGTGATATTTACCGCCGTGTTTTATTTATCATCTATTTTCTGTAATTTCATAAATTTCCACATTTTATAAAATAATGTACATGTATTTTTCAGATGCATTTTGTTTCTTAAAAAGAAACCCGAGTGAGAAATATAAATAAAGTGTATACCAAAATAATAATTCTAAATTAATCACAGTTTGATTCTTTTTCAGATGGTAGATGGAGAACTGGAACTGTTGATTGTTGCCGCAGGTGGTGGAGGGCTTGCATACAGGAAAGGCAACAAGTTTGGCAAAGAGTCCAAGAAATACAACAAAGGCACAAACGCAGCAACATTTGAATTTGGCCCTGGTAGGTGTATGGAAATTAAGCACTTAATATGTTGCAAGAAAAGAAATTTTAACAGATTTATGAAGAATCACAGATGACAATATCAAATACAAAAAAGAACAACAATTGCAAAATTCAAAAAAGAATGCAGAGTAATAAAAACCCTTTCTATATTCCAGTAAAACTGCCTTAGTGGACACCTTTCTTTAGTGAACACCTGTCTCTTGTGAACACCTTTCTTTAATGAACACCTGTCTTTAATGAATAACTTTCTCTATTAGATGCCCTTCCTATATGTACATACTGTACCAACTTCTGTAATTACCCTGTAAATACCTCTCTCTAGTAAACACCTGTCTCTAGTGAACACCTTTTTTTAGTGAACACCTGTCTCTTGTGAACAACTATCTCTAATGGACATCTTTCATACGCACATTACCTACTGACATCTGCATATAATCCCCGCTTTGTAATGAGCACCTACATAAGAGTGAACATATTTTTGTTGCTCCATAGTTGTTCACTGTATGCAGGTTTTACTGTATATTGATTTGTCATGAGGAGAACATTTGAAACACAATTTAAATTGTTCTGCAAATTCAACTTCCAAAGATGACATTTTTATGCTATGTACTATGAATAAAACAATACATTTCAGGGGGAGGAGGTGGATTTAATGGAACAGCAGTGTACCCTCAAGCCGGTTCATCATTGTTGGAAGGTGGAGCAGGGGGCATTAACTGCCCTGATGTACCCCAGGTCATGTGGGCCTATGGGGGATTTGGAGGAGGAGGTGGGGGATGCACAGCAGGGGGAGGAGGAGGAGGCTTTTCAGGTATTCCTTTAATTAACTACATATGAATGAAAAAAAGATTTTGCTGATGCCGATTTTTCTCTGGTGATGCATGGTATTCGGAACAACTAACATGTCTATATATTTATTTTTCGATTTGAAAATCACATTTATTTAGAGATCATATTCATTTTTTCAATTTTGAGACAATATTTTTCTCTTCAGGCGGACCAGTATCCAGCACAAATGATTTGGAGAGAAATGGAGAGGGTGGAAAATCATATGTCCATCCAAGTGGCAACGATGTTCACATTGTTCATGGTACGTTTCTCCACCTGTGCTAATTAAGCTGCATATTAATTCATCTTTATCAAGTTAGCAAATAATTCAAGCTAACTTCTACTCAATTCAAGCTAACTTCTACTCAATTCAAGCTAACTTCTACTCAATTCAAGCTTACTTCAACTCAATTCAAGCCAACTTCTACTCAATTCAAGCTAACTTCTACTCAATTCAAGCCAACTTCTACTCAATTCAAGCTAACGTCTACTCAATTCAAGCTAACTTCAACTCAATTCAAGCCAACTTCTACTTAATTCAAGCTTACTTCAACTCAATTCAAGCTAACTTCAACTCAATTCAAGCTAACTTCTACTCAATTCAAGCCAACTTCTACTCAATTCAAGCTAACTTCAACTCAATTCAAGCTAACTTCAACTCAATTCAAGCTAACTTCTACTCAATTCAAGCTAACTTCTACTCAATTCAAGCCAACTTCAACTCAATTCACGCTAATGTCTACTCAATAGACTAGATGCGAGTAGAAAAAATCTTGATTTACGCCATTAAATATAAAAATTTAGTCAAAGCGATGTTATATTTGAAATCTACATGTAAAAGTACATCTAGAAATATGGTTTCGAAAATTGTTTATCAAGTTTGAAAATTTAATTATTTTTGAAAGTGTGACTTCTAGTTCAGGTTGATTCTCCATAGAGCCCATGCTACAAAATCACAAAAAGTGAAATATCTTTTCTTGTATTGGTCAGATAACATTTTCATTTACTGGACATATTTTGATTTGCATAACTATTAGATACATAGGGTTATATGAAAATTGAACCACTAAAACAGATGTAATTTAAGTTAAAGGGAACTTTTTACTATACCCGCTATGCTATCTGACCCGAACGAGCCACCTGGTGGTGAAACTGGTAACTACCTACTCGCATCTGCTTTATTCAAGCTAAGTGACTTTAACTCAATTCAAGCTAACTTCTACTCAATTCAAGCTAACTTCTACTCCTACTATAGCTCATCCCCAATCAAAATTCAAATATGTCTTGCAATATTAGAAATTCAAACATGGCCAAATAAAATTATCTCAGCTAATCAAATTGTGTATTTACTGTTCATTATTGAATGATTTTTGCTGAATAACTGCACTGTTTATAATAATGACGTAGTAGTTATACCAAAATCCATTGATTATGTTTTTATTCATTTTCTTATGTACTGTATACATTTATTTACATTTATGTTTATCATGTTACAAGAATGAATGAATAAATATTTTTTTAAAGATCCATTGATTAATATTATGATGTCATTCTCAGATCAAGCTGACCGCGAGTCTCCTCAAAATCTTTGTCTGCATTAATTTGCGCATTTTTCATGTTTGAAGAATGTTAAATAGTTCTATTTTAATCATGCAGTCAGTTTGTCTATGAACACAGTGTAGACGCTTCATTTTTTGACATTGATAAATTACACTTGTTTATTATTAGTATAGAAAACAATCTCATTATTTAATTTATTAATCCAAAATTGACCCCTTTCTTTGCCAATGCAATCAATGATAACATCCTGTTTGCAATCTATTTATGTTGAAACACAATTCATCATTTGGTTATTTCAAGAAGGAAATTATCCAATAGAATCAGTTTGCATCAGTTTGCATTATTGATTTTGTTTTTCTTTGGGCTTGATGCCAGTTTTTGGGGCTAAAGATGGGGCTATTCAGACTTCATTTTCGACAATGTGAGTTATTTACTGGTTCTTCAACCGCATATATTTTCAGCTCAAATATTTGTTTGGGTTTTTTGGAATTCTCATTTTGGGATTTGAGGTAGAGGTATTTGTGTCAGTAAAATAAAATATTTGTTTTATTATTCACTGTTATATTCGGGGCAAGTCTGAGAAGAAGAAAAGTGTTTGTTATGTCACCACCATAAAATGGTGACATATTGTTATGGTCTCCGTTTTTATGTGACGGTGGTTGGCCGTCGACAGTTGCCGATTGGCATTTGGCGTCTGTAACAAATTCTTAAGACTTCCAATAAGTTAACAAATACTGTTTAGACTGTCTTCAGTTTATTTCGAAATCATCTACAAGTTTTCAGAAGTTCAAATCTGACTTTATATTTAAGATTTGACCTTCATTGACCTTCTCAAGCTCAGAAAAAGGTCAAAAAGTTATATTTTCAACTTGCTTCAAATTGACCAATTTTTTTCAAAATCATTGAGAAGATTTCAAAAGTTCAAATCTGACTATAGATTTGACCTTCAGTGACATTCTCAAGGTCAAAAGATAGTTGACTTTCAATGACCTTCTCAAGGTCAAAAAGGTCTTTTTAACTTGCATTAAATTGACCAATTTTTGCATATTTTGTTCATAATTAAAGGTTTAATCTTAAATTTTAGGTAAGATATGAACTCCTGAGAACTTGCACATGATTTTAAGAAAAGTTTGGTCAATTTGAAGCAAGTTGAAAGCAATTTTGAACAAAATACTGCAATCGGCCATCTGATGAATCGGAGCAAAGACCTAGACATCAGTCAAAGAAGTTTTGAGTAGCACTTGACAAAAATGCCACAGCAGAGGCATATGCAGATCAATAGAATAGAATAATCAATAGAATATTCATACTCTAGTAGATCTTGTGCAGGGAGCATGCCACCTTATCATGTTTTCATCAGGCGGTGTTAGTTTTAAGAGATGAAATTGTAATAATGGCAATGAAATAATAATAAACTTTATTCTATGATTTATTTGAGTTCACTTCTTTTTTAAGCATCTGCATGTTAATGCCCTGTTAATAGTCTCTGATTTTTTTGTGTAGCTGATAGTTGCTTGGTGTCTGGCTTGACACTTAGTGGTTAGTGAATGGCAGTCAGCATCTCTAACAAATGGCAGGTGGTGACATATTGCATGTTAAGGCCTTATTTTAGTATTGTTGCAAATATATGTGAGATTTTGATAAACCATTTTACTTGTACTGTTTTTAGGAGCCAACACTGAAATCAGTGGCGTCGTTGAGATTGTCGTTGTGGACCTCATGTGTCACTGTGAACACCTTTGTCAAAAGCAAAATGGGAAATATAAATGCATTTGTCGCAATAACTACATAGTTGCTGAGGATGGATCGTGCCAAAGTAAGTTGATATGTAAATACGAGGGGTGATCAATAAGTAATGGACACTTTTTTACACAGATACTTTTTATAGACCAATCCCTTTGATTTTCCTACCAGTGATACATCATTCAATTATCTATCAATTCTGAAGATTTGAAGACAAAATATATAATACATATTGATATATCCTTATTTCCGTGAAGGAGGTACAGGTACCCCGGGACCGACATTTACGTCACATATTCAGATTTTAGCCAGTTTGGTAAATTTCAGTTAGATTTGAACATTTTATATGCAACAAGTGTTGTGTTGTTTACAATTTTTTGCTGACTGGTAACACATAAACAGAAAGTATTGTAATGTCAGAGTGTTGTATGAAAGGGGTTTGCAGGTCAATTTGAGAAAGCATTGTGGAAGAAAAGGGTGGTGAGAGAAGGGAACACCCTACTCCATATGGACAATGCACCTGCCCACAGATCTCAAAATGTTCAGAAAACAATATCCCTGGACATCAAAATTGAGCCCTTGGCCAATGCACCATATTGTCCAGATCTGCTCACATGTGACTTGTTTATTTCTATACTACTTATTTCTATAGAGAAAGGACGCATGTTTATTGACATTGATGAAATAAAACAACCCGTGCAACTGCATCTTGCTACCATGTCAGAGAATGGATTCAGCCTTGTCTCACAATCTTGAGTTAAGAGGATGAAGAATTGTGTACATGTAGCACTTGATGGAACCTATTTAGAGGGCCCTGTGGAATGAATGTGGCATGAATACCACATAGTGATGATAAAATATTCAAAATCAACTATGGCATAACAAAATGGGGTAATTCATGACCATAATGGTTTGTTTTGTTCAGCCTGCATTCAACTGTATTGCATGTTAAACAATCTAAATTAAAATAGCTTCAGAATATGTGGCGTAAATGTCGGTCCCGGGATACCTGTACCTCCTTCACGGAAATAAGGATATATGAACATGTAATATATGTATTGTCTTCAAATCTTCAGAGTTGATAGATAATTGAATGATGTATCACTGGTAAGAAAATCGAAGGGATTGGTCCATAAAAAGCATCTGCGTAAAAAAGCGTCCATTACTTATTGATCACCCCTCGTATGTACTCATATAGGAATATTAGGAGGATAATGGTTGAAGGTATTAGGAAGGTGTAAAATATGTACAGAGTGTAGTGGCGTAGCCAGCTTTCGGTCAAAAAAATTTAGGGTTTAGTCAGGGAGGTTGGGATTGTGTCATAAACAAGCCAAAAAATAAGATTATAGTTTTGAATTTTACAAAAATTGATGCAACTTCCTTCAAAATTGAGCTAGAAGCTTCAAATATAAAGCAATTTAAAGCTCTTTTCTTATATCTCACGGTTTAATTTTTTGGGGTAAGGGGGGTGCGATTGCCTATGGGTGGGCTCACTTTTAAGTAAATCCTTCACATTCCGAGTACTATAAATATAACACATCATTGGAAGGAAAATAAATTTGATATGAACAAAGTTACACTTCTTTTTAAGCCACTGGGATATATTTGCAAATTTCAAATGATATTACAAATTGTATATATAAATGTGATATCCGAATGTCGATCCCAAGAATGTAAGAACCCCTCTCCCTCCCCAAGAACAGCCATTGCAATGAGACCGAACCAGACAAATTTATTTGTTCCAATGTTTGTTGCAAAGATAGGGCTATCTCTTAAGTGATTAAATATTGATTTATCTGATCCAATTGACCACTTGATTTCCCAATATCTATTACATAAGTAACTGACCCCAACATGGCAATCTGTGATTCTTGATAAAACAATTACCACTGTTAATATTTTATGAGTAAAAACCCTAGACAAAAACATATTACGTTAAGTTTCAACTAGAATTTTCCCCTGATAAATCAGAGTCTCAGGTAGAATTACATTAGTGCCACGATAATAGAGAATACAAGAAACTGATTTAATTTTCTCATTTACTTAAGATCCACTGATTGCATATATACAGACAGGCATGTTGTCTAACATTGATCATAAAATTCAACTTGGGCACCATGACATGTCATTCCTTTTAACTGGTATTAAGTAGAGCTAACTGCAGCAATAGAGTCTTTTCCATATAGATTTGAAATCTCGTTCAAATCTCGTTTTTAATGAGATTTTAGGATATCTGCATTCCTGAACATAAAAGACTAACACTTTCTTCTATTTGATGGCATATTTAAAATCTATGTGTAATTTTCTATCAAAACAACTTTGATTTGTACAGTTATCTACCTTAATTCAAATTCTAAGGATTTTCAAGTTTTCTAAAAGAGGTTGGCCTAAATCCCCATTGTCACAATTTTGAAAAAAACTCAAAAATTTACTCATAAAAAATCCACATGTCAATAAGATCATATACATATGTAGTTAGATTCCAATGGTGTTTTAAGTTGATCCAAATGGAATAACTTGTTAAATCAAGAAATTAAGTGACTCTTGCTATAAAGTGGCCATGTTATTTAGCCTTACCAATACCCATGATGCCATCTATTTTTCCATTTATATGGAAAAAGGTCAATTATCATCTTGATACATCAAGATATTACATATGACTGAAGGAATACACTGGTTTAACGGTATGAGCAATTGGAATGTGACATTTACAAACAAATTTTGTTCTTTTAAATTGTGCTAAATTATAAAATAAGGAGCAATAGCTATTCTTTTAGCGAGCTATATGAAATTGAATTGAATTGTTAACTACAAGAATTTTCTGCCCATATACAATAGCAACATTAGACTATAACACACTCTTATGTTTGAGCATCGAAACTAATCTGTCGCAATCAATCATAGAGGGGAATGACACATTAGTTAATGATATTCAAAGTAAACCTTTACAACATAGGTTCACATTTCCCATTAAGTACTAACACACGTGGGGACGTCAAGGTGAAATAAAGAATTGAATGATTAACAACCTGGAAAGACAAGTGGGTCATGTGTCCAATTAAGCACTTATACACGTGGGGAAGGCCATGTGACATAATGAAAAGAATGATTGACAACCTGGAAAGACAAGTGGGTCATTTGTCCCATAAGCACTTATACACGTGGGGAAGTCCATGTGACATAATGAAAAGAATGATTGACAACCAGAAAGACAAGTGGGTCATTTGTCCCATAAGCACTTATACACGTGGGGAATTCCATGTGACATAATGAAAAGAATGATTGACAACCTGGAAAGACAAGTGGGTCATTTGTCCCATAAGCACTTATACACATGGGGAAGTCCATGTGACATAATGAAAAGAATGTTCGACAACCTGGAAAGACAAGTGGGTCATTTGTCCCATAAGCACTTATACACGTGGGGAAGTCCATGTGACATAATGAAAAGAATGATTGACAACCTGGAAAGACAAGTGGGTCATTTGTCCCATAAGCACTTATACACGTGGGGAAGTCCATGTGACATAATGAAAAGAATGATTGACAACCTGGAAAGACAAGTGGGTCATTTGTCCCATAAGCACTTATACACGTGGGGAAGTCCATGTGACATAATGAAAAGAATGATTGACAACCTGGAAAGACAAGTGGGTCATTTGTCCCATAAGCACTTATACACGTGGGGAAGTCCATGTGACATAATGAAAAGAATGATTGACAACCAGAAAGACAAGTGGGTCATTTGTCCCATAAGCACTTATACACGTGGGGAAGGCCATGTGACATAATGAAAAGAATGATTGACAACCTGGAAAGACAAGTGGGTCATTTGTCCCATAAGCACTTATACACGTGGGGAAGTCCATGTGACATAATGAAAAGAATGATTGACAACCAGAAAGACAAGTGGGTCATGTGTCCCATAAGCACTTAAACACGTGGGGAAGTCCATGTGACATAATGAAAAGAATGATTGACAACCTGGAAAGACAAGTGGGTCATTTGTCCCATAAGCACTTATACACGTGGGGAAGTCCATGTGACATAATGAAAAGAATGATTGACAACCTGGAAAGACAAGTGGGCCCTGTGTCCCATTCAGTACTTATACATGTGGGGAAGTCCATGTGACATAATGAAAAGAATGATTGACAACCTGGAAAGACAAGTGGGCCCTGTGTCCCATTCAGTACTTATACACGCGGGGAAGTCCATGTGACATAATTAAAAGAATGATTGACAACCTGGAAAGACAAGTGGGCCCTGTGTCCCATTCAGTACTTATACACGTGGGGCAGTCCATGTGACATAATGAAAAGAATGATTGACAACCAGAAAGACAAGTGGGTCATGTAACCCATTCAGTACTCATACACGTGGGGAAGTCCATGTGACATAATGAAAAGAATGATTGACAACCAGAAAGACAAGTGGGTTATGTGTCCCATGGTACATATACACGTGGGGAAGGCTATGTGACATAACAAAAAGAATGATTGAAAGACAAGTAAAACTAATGGGGTCCAGGAAACTGGGTATGTAAGATGACTTAGGATCCACATATGCATAGACTTTATTGATAAAATCCTTGGCCCATACAAACACTGCCTATAGCTGATATGATCAATCATACATTCTTTGCTGCCTTGAGTGGCGTTGAGTTCGTCAGTGTAAGTGATGTAGCACTTCACCTGGCTAAAAGGGTCCCTCGAGTCACTTCATTATCTATCTTTTTTTGTATATCAAGAATGATAGGAGTAATTATTCTTCCATTACTTGTAATTTAAATACTTTACTCAAAAAATGCATTATCAATACTGACAAAAAAAGTAAGGATGTTTTTTTTGTAAGGAAGCACGGTGGAGTACTTAAATGGCGTATCTACTTGGCACGCCATCTGAAACACTGTCAAATTGCATGGTTCTTCCAAGGTGGCAGGCAGCAGTTTGTTCCTTTATGTGGTGACCTGATATAATTTTGCTTTATAAGTAGTCGAACTCCATCTTTTCCCAATGTAAACCTAGTTCTCTCAATAAAGGGGTCTGTAAACAACTTTCATGTAAAAAATGATCAGTGTTAATTGGGTCATATTTACATGTATGCTGTCATTAATCAACATTTGTCATTTATTTAGCTGTAGTGTTTATTTTATACTGAATGCCATAGGATTGCCTCATTTGGTCAAAGTAATATGGTTTAATTGTGTTTAGACATTTTGTCTTATCTAACTGTGGGCCTGCATTCACGTGGGTTTTCAATGTCCTATTCCAAAATCAATCATCAAAATAAAAAGATAAGATATAACTTTAGATTGGTATCCAAAAGTCTCTAGTGGAAATATGGAAGATAATTGGGGGAAAAATTCCTTCAATCGAGGGGCTCTGTTCGGGATTTCTATAATCTCTGTCAACATTGACTAGTTCGATTCTTGAAAGATCCTTGCTTCATTTTAGTGATCTTTACCGTAATCTCTCCAATAACAATACTATAAATTATTGAATGATTTGAAGTGCAATACAGGATATATTCTGCTCGAGAAATTCCGTATTGGAATGAGACGAAGTCGAGTGCCAATACAGAATATCGAGACAGAATATATCCTGTATTGCACTTCAAATAATTCTATAACGTTTTTATCGTGTGATCATCGTATTGCTACTGAGAATGTCCCCTCCGTACCAATATTTTCTGTATTGCGACGGAGATGATCAATGCGGACAATCTCAGTAGCAATACAGATTGGTACAGCACAAGAACTGACCAATCAGAAGGCTTCATTTTACAGATCATACGATAAATATCATTATTGTAAAAATATGCTGTTGCAAATAAGGTTTGGCAGGAAAAAATTGCCATGCATAAAATTACCTGGGATTTCTGACCTGTTTCATATATTGAAGCTTAATAGAATGATCTGAAGGATGTATTTTCAATTTTCTAAGCACCCCAGGCTCTAATTACAGAGAATACGGTACCTGAATATACATGTAAAATATAGATGAAATTAGAAACTCAATTAACACCCCTTCAGATTTAAATAAAACTTCTTTGGAAATGCGCCACATTAAAAGACGTCGGAAATCTCCCGACTGATGTCATTTCAAACCTTTTAAGAAAGAGTACATTGTCTCAAACATTTGTCTTCATTCTTACTCTCGTTTCAACAGATTCACTTCCCCTAAATAAAACTGCACTTCTATTTTCGATGTTGGTGAATTCCACACGGCTAAAAACAACATACGGCATACGGTCTGATGTTATATATAAATACTCGGCAAACATCCTTTAAATCAACTCAAATTTTTTCAAATGTGATAATTAACAAGGAAAATATCTGTTATTGAAGAGGCGCAAGGATAATTTTGAGAACCTGACGATGCCACTAATTCAATGTTCACTGACAGTCTATGTGTGTATATTGTCAGTTTGTTAGGCAATATATTGTACTTTCGCTTTTCCAATACAAAGAATTTCTTAAACTCCATGAAATATAACCTGTTGCACTGATAGGCGAGGGTGTTTGGAAAGAATGTGTGCAGTTTGTAATTTCTGGCTAAAATAAGCATGCTGTTTGTGCTTAATTACTTTTAATCTTGTGATTGATAGCAAATATTTTGTTTTGTACATACAAACTCAGGGTAAACAGTTAACTTTAAAACAAAAATCAAGTATTTTCCATTTCTGTGAAAACGTGAAGTTGATATGTCAATCCTCAAAAAAAATCGTTGGCAAATATATGTTGATCTCCTTATATTTTAAAACCTGCATTTACTTGCATATTCATTTTGATATCACTGGGTCGAATCTTATATTTACCACAGAATGAAGCCATTAATCGAGCTAACAATGCAACATTAACTTTTTAAAATAACGTTGAAAAACATACATTGTAGACTCCGACTTGTATGATGTTATATACGTGGTCGCCGGGTTGGCCTAGTGGTTAAGGCATTGGTCTGAAAAGCAGGAAGTCTGGCTTCAAGCTGAAAAAGTAGAGGTCTTGGGTTCAAACCCAGGTCACAGCACTTCTTGTGATTTGTCTTTGACCTATGACTGCTGGCCTATACCGGCGATTACTAGAGTGCTGCTAACTCAATAAAAGGCTGGCGCTGGCTAGAATTGTCTATGGTTCTAGCCAGGATAAAGATACCAGTTCTTCAACTAGACAATGGGAAGAACTGCTCTACCTTAGTGACTAAAGAGTCAATAAAAAATAGATATATATATGATATTGCAAGACCAGCAATTTGTGATCAAACAATCCACATTAATAATTTGCAAAAGGCTTATGACCTTATTAACAGCAAGTTAAGTGGGTGTATGCTCCTTACTAATGGATTTTTCTGTCCGGACTTCTCTATTGAGTTTCTTATATACTATGAATATAATGATCTTAATTGATTCATATCTGTAATGGGTCTAGTTTTTGTGCCACTTTGCAACAATCATAGGTTAATCAACTCTATTAAAGGGAAATGACTTCAGGTGCTACTTGCCTTGCTTGAAAAGGCAATAAATGAATACATCGATCTTTATATATGTGTTCACATGTGTTCATTGAAAAGGCTTTGGAAAAGGCCTCGGGCATGGGGCATTAGGGGTGGGGATCGAGAAGCATCCATGTTGAAATTTATTATTGACCTTTTTTTTAAGTTTTAAAGATTAAATTTTTAAAAATGTAACTGATGGAGTACTTTTCGATCAACCTGTTGATACGTATATGTTCAAAAGGAAACTATTCAGACCTACAACATCTAAAAACTATACTTTTGATGTTTCTGCAGCCTCAACCGATGTCATCTTCAAAAACTGCAGGCAGCTAAAATGTCAAAATTATTTAACTTTCTAGAGGGGGGCCAATAATGCTATGTAGCCTCAGCCCTTCACAATTATGTTGAATTATATAGAAATAAATAACAATAACCTATAAAATGAAATTATGTAAGTGTGAGTCTGAAGAGTTTCCTTTTGAATAAATAACCTACCCACAGAGCATCTTTAGTGAACATGTTGCTTGTAATTTTTTCAGATGCATCTTCCCTTCTCATGTCTAGAAGTGTAGAGATGGAGTCCATATCTGATACTGGGATGATGATCGCCATAGTAGTAGGCTCCCTTGTCACTCTAATTAGCATTAGCACATGCCTTGTGTGTATCATAAAATGGGGTGAGTAGTATTAAAGTCATTATATATAAAGCTTTATTGTAATCAAATCCCACATTTAGGGAAATCATACAGCAAGAAAAGAAAATATAAGAACTAGATCATAAAGATAAGAAATAACCTATACACTAAACTTTTAAAATTGCGTCACCATATGATATATCATAATAAATATCTTTTTGATATTTATTACATGATTTGGGTCTGTTAATGCTTTAATGTTTGGCTAATTATATGTGTGCCTTTGAAGAGTATTGGTCTCAATGGTTTATAAACAACCACAATCTAATCCCAAGACTTTCCAGACACCCTGTATTTTGTTTATTGTATATGGAGATAAGACTCCAGACACCCTGTATTTTGTATGGAGATAAGACTCCAGAACACTGTATTTTGTATTTTGTGTAAGGAGATAAGACACCAGACACCCTGTATTTTGTATATTGCATATGGAGATAAGACTCTAGACACCCTGTATTTTGTATATAGAGATAAGACTCCAGACACCCTGTATTTTGTATATTGCATATGGAGATAAGACTCCAGACACCCTGTATTTTGTATATTGCATATGGAGATAAGACTCCAGACACCCTGTATTTTGTATATTGCATATGGAGATAAGACTCCAGACACCCTGTATTTTGTATATTGCATATAGAGATAAGACTCCAGACACCCTGTATTTTGTATATTGAATATGGGGATAACACTACTTTAAAATCTCCACTTAAAACACAGGATTTATCTTATTTTCAGTGCAAAGGAACAATAAAAAGCGAATCAAAGCAGCGCGACTAGAATTGTTAGTCGGAGTTAACACTGACAACCAATTAAACTCCTTGCGTCCCAATGCTCATCTTGAGACTAATCCAAATTACGACTTCTGTGGCGACAAATGTAGTTTTCAGGACCTAAGAGAGATTCCCCGCGACAAATTGACACTTGTTAAGTAAGTAGAAACCCTAAATATGTCAGGCCGTAGCCAGGGGGGGTTTGCAGGGTTTCAAGCCGACCCGCCCTGGCCAAAAATTCTTTCAAAATCATGCAGTTTTTCACCATTTTGAGCACTTCTCAAGTGATTTTAGCCATATTTGGGCCAAAATTGTCAAATGTGAACCCCCCCTGGAAATTTTTGAAAATTGAACCTTCCCCTTGGCAAATCCTTGCTACGGGCCTGTTATGTTAGACATATGGAAAACTTGTATGTAAACATGTAGATTTGTACTCCTCTAGGATTACACGTCTCTTTCATAGTACTTATACTCGCCCACTTGAGTATGAAGTTATTATGAAAATAGTCGTTATCACACCCCTGGGAAAAAAACAATCGAGACTAGGATAATTATAATCCCTGGGGGTCAAACTATTACATTACAAGGGGTGATCAATAAGTAATGGATGTTTTCAGAGTTGATAGATAATTGAATGATGTATCACTGGTAAGAAAATCGAAGGGATTGGTCTATAAAAAGTGTCTTTGTAAAAAAGCGTCCATTACTTATTCATCACCCCTAGTATATTCACTTTCAATATTTAAAACCCATAATATCTTAACCTCCCTATTGTGTAGTGTGATGAATTACACCCTACCCACACAGTGAATTTATATTGTAAGTTTATACATGTATCTTGTGATTATTTCAATTAATTGATATTCAGCAAAGATAGGTTGAGCAATTATGGCACAAATCTGAAGTAATGTTTAGTGATAATTCTTTTTTTATTATCTTGTTCTTTTTTATTATCATGTTCATGTCATGTTATTTATTTTTTATTCATGCAATAAATCAGTACGAGTATATAATCAATAATTATAGTATACAAATCACATATTAATAATAAAGAATTAATAAAAAACAATAATGTAGTATTTAGTCTAAAAGAGCTATTAAGGGATTTTGTCAGGAATATATATGTTTCTAGGTTGATTAATTTATCGTCCAGAAGAGGATATAAAGTTTATTTAATGCTATTAACCCCTATTTATTAGCCTCATTATGATATACAATTTCTTTTTTGTTGTCACCTTAAAGGCCCCATGTAGTTTGAAAATAAGTTTTTATCATTTTCTATTTCATGACTTTAAAAGTTATTTTAGAGATTTTTGATTGAAATATTTTTTGGGAAAATAACGTTTTCTGCTTTTTATATTTCAGATATTCAATTTTCCCTTTATTTTTCAAATAAAAGTTGAAATATGTTTCACATCAAATATTCCACTATACAGAGCAAAACACATTATCTTTTTAACACCAATGCAAAGATTGCACACACTATTTCAATAATAGAATGTCATATCAAAAGAATGTAAATATTGCTGTACCATTGGTTTCTATGAGAACTGAACCACTTTCCTGCATGTATCAGTTAATATCATTCTTATGTTGTCATATGGTATATTTGTATGAGGAATTGTACGTTTAGTATGAGTTTATATGAGTTTGTTTCTATTTTAATCAACTATCAATCTACTTATTGGGCACATAACAATTATGCCTCAATAGAATTGTGAAGCATTATGTAAAATTAGATACGAGAAGAATAAATATGTAATTTTTAAAAATAATTTTTATGTCTCCACCACAAGTTATCTCCAATGTTTTGGAGATGATGTTCGGTGGTCAGTGCTTTCAAATATAAATCTACACTGGCTCTATTGAGAGTGATTTCATGAGTCCTAGTTAAATTGATCAGGGACGTTGAACTGATTATTCTCTTGGGCAAAAAGTGTTTATTAAATTCTTTTCTAAACAATGGTAAAGAATTTTGAAAGAGGTTTAGGTAATTTTTTCCACCAAGGACATCTATTTCGATAGACGTCCTTGGTTCCACAGTGAAATTACATTAGGAATAGATTTAATAAAATCAATTTGGCATTCGTTGGTTGATGTTCGGCATCTTAACCAAAAGGCAGGGGGTGACATTTTGCATGTTAATACCTTGTGTATCAATATAGGGAAGAAGGCCTGATGTATGACATGAATCCTAACAACATTTCTATTGATTGTTATTCATTATTAATTTTTCCACAGGGCGTTAGGACAAGGAGCATTTGGCGAAGTCTACCAAGGTTACCTGTCTGATATTCCAAGAGAACCATCTGACCTTCCAGTTGCCGTCAAGGTATTGCACACTTTTAATCAGAAAATTAATTCCATTCTTGTACCCTGAATTATTCAAGTTATCAGTAAGATTCAACACTCTGACGGTCATAGATATTTTGTTGCTGAGATAAATCTAGTTTTTGTGAAAGGCCCCATACAAAGTTGTGTTTTTATCATTCATTTACTATTTTCATGACTTTAAAAATATTTCGGAGAATTTTGAAAATAGTTTTGTCAGTTTCTTATTTCTCAATCAAAGGACGATTCTCGGTTTGGAGAACGAAGTTCATCAATCTAAATGAGCATTATCCCTGCTTCGGACAAATTTGATTTTTTTACATAATATAGATTTGAATGTCTTTTTTTGAATAGGCATAATTTAATTTGGGTAATATTTCTAGATTTTTCGCAAAAAAATATTAGCGCAGTACACTGTTCTCCAAACCGAGAATCGTCCTTTCCTGCCATTTTTCAGATAAAAGTTTAAGATTACAATAAGTCAATTTGGTTTAAACTTTATATGGGGCCTTTAAAGTAATTTGTATGTATGGTACTTAATTGTTGGAATCTAGATTAAATGTAAACTGAGGTAAATCAAATCCTTTGCCTAGGAATAATTCATTGCATTACATTATGTAATCAACGAGATGGTTTGAAAGCAGTGAATGACCAACTTGAAGGATGGCTAGATGATGCCTGTACTGTGATTTGAATCCTGCATTTATGAAAGACAACACAAAATAATATGAGATTATAATATATATATATTTATTAACTACAAGTTTACCTAATTACAATATATGTATTATAAACATATACATTTGGCTACAACCCAATCATTCGTTTGCCGAAAAACGACAGCCTTTACCAACATATGTAAAGATACTTTAGAGTAAATCGTGAAATATAAGTCGTAAATGCTAGATGTCTAATAATCCTTTTTCTAAATAGCACGAGAGGCGAGCGGCCAATCATGCGATGCCATAGATTAGGTAGCTGCTCTGGGCACTGTACTCCCTGTACTAATGATTTAAAAAAATGATTTATCAGCTGATTTTAGTATCATACATTCTGAGGCTTCAGATTTGGAATTAAAGCTTAGATCAAAGTAATTGAAAGAGTTACATAAAGTCAAGTTCTCTTGAATTCCTGTGAAAGTTACAGAAATACTGATATGATATTTGTGATTTCATAATAAATTGAACAATTGACTAACTGGTCTATAACTGGTGACTGGTCTATAACTGGTATATGTGTTTAACCTTCATATATGCAAATTTTTTCTGTTGGAGTCATATTTGAATTGAAACAACCAAACTTCGATTCTATGATTTATGGCAACTAGATGTCTTTAGATTTCATTTCGCGCATTGCCAAAATCCTCAATCGCTCTGTAATTTTGATCATATAATTAGCAATTAAGTGATCAGATAAGATCATCAGTCATATATTGCACTGTAAAATATAGAATTTCAGTCTTTAGTAAAGTTTAACTTGGCAAAATGAAAACATTGACATAAATAAAAAAGCATTTTCATCTATGTTTAATGTGGTAGGCAATTTGTGTGACATGTACCCTTTGCATCCGTTCCACTTTGACTCTTCACTCTTTCAGTTTTCACTCTTTCAGTTTTCAATAAATCTCTGAACTCACAGAGGGAATCAGAATTGGTCGTCGAAGTACGGACGACTTTCTATATGGTCATTTCCTTTGAAATTACCGCACATGACACATGAGCATGTATTTAGCACTATGTTCCCTCAACTTTGCTGATTGGTTGAGAATAGGTCAGCGCGGAAGGTGTGAAATGATTTATGACCCGAGCTGTCACAGGCACCAATCTTTGGGGGGGGGGGGGGGCTGCTAAGCTGTAATATAGTCTATACTAGGCAGAGGGTAGTTTGTAACTAGACTCTGCATGCAGGGTATGTGATTTGATAGTCACTGCTTTTGTAATTTATCATGCCTAATCTAAGGACAATTAAGTCTGCAGGCTGAAATGTGATTAACCCTTTAAACTCAAGTCTGATAAGCACTCTCTTTTAATCAATTTTGATTTACCTTTTACAAAGTAAACAGTTGGATAAATTTTTACTCAATTCTTTTTTGGCATGTTTAAGTATAAAACCTTGAAAAAATTGAAATAAGTCCTTAAACACATTTTCTTGAAAAATCCTCTCCTAATAAACATTATAACCGTACTGTTTACAGATTTTCGTGGGAGGGAACAAAAAAGATATGACACTGCTAGGGTAAAAACATTATGCCAAGTTCCACATGGAAAAAACTACTTGCACCTTTTTCTATCAAAAGACAATTAAAGGAAGAATCAAACCCATATACCAAAATGGGGAAAAATTGTTCAAATTCTCCAAAATAATAAAAGTGGTAACAAGTAAAAAAGAAAAATAATACAAATGTTTTATTGTAAAAATCTTTAGTTTTCCCTTGATGCATCATACACTTCAGATATTTTTAGAAAATAGACATAACAAGGAATGATATGAGCCCAAAATATTCTAAAGTTAAAGCAATTTTTGTCAAGAGTACTCATCTGTATCTTGCTAGATCTGATTCTGCCTTTAATTCACTTTCTTACTTCTTTCAAGCTTTAGTAATTACAGGTGATTGTAAGAAAGTCCATGCCCTTGAAGTTAATGAATTGTGTAAGTTAAATGTCATTATGAATTAGAGATAATTTGGGTTGTTTGGTATTAGAATTACAGCTATAAGGTCTTTACTTTCACAACACATTACTGTACCATCGTTGACACTAATTCCTAGCTTATGTAAAACAGCTGTCCTCAAAAGCTTTTAGTAATAAGATTACAGAGTTAACACATTTATGCACATGTCTATGATATTGTTCATTTATTAATTCAAAATGAAAATACTATGTATTGAAAAGTTAGAATAAGATTTTTAACATTCTATGGGTTAAAACTGCAGTGTACTAGCTAAGGTGGTCATCTACGCTCATGACCATTTATTGGTGTTATATACCAATACATCTTTTCGGTAACATTTTTGGTAGTTTTACAGGAAACTCATCAAAAGACTTTTTTATACCAGTTGTGGCCAAATCAGTCCCAACACTCACAATTACATAAAATGCAGAAATAAATTTGTCTGAACCGGGAATTGATCCTGAGGGCAAGCGGTAGAATTGAGCCATAGTGGGTGGACTGATAAATAGCATACACCTCAAATGACATTTAGAATGACTGCAAAGTTCACCTTATATGAACTATATGTCCTTTAAGTTTTAATCCCATGTTGTTTTAAGGTGGGCATTGATCCTTTGGCAAGGTGAACATTTTTTATGGATAAACATTGAAATTATGTATTATTTTCATGTTCAAATTCTGAAATATTTTGAACAAAAATCCGATAGGTAAGAGCAGTCCAATAGGAACTAAGCATGAAATTTTTCACATATTGCTAAACCACCTTTTCCAATGATTTAAGAGCCTAATTAGTTTAAAATTGGTGACGCTTGATAAACTTTAATTTTTCCTTCAGGAAATTTGTCAAGAGCAAGTCAGAGGTTCAACAATGACTTACAGTAATGATTACCTCGATTCAAAATTATGGCCATCGTTATCATTAATTTGCTTTATAAAACTGATGTAATGACAAACTAAAAGCGATAAATTCTTATTACGTTAAAGTAGCTTATTGCAAAAATCCATTTATGTGCAAATAGACTGAAAGTCAACCTGCTTATAGAGTAGACCTTTTGACATTGTAAAGTATATATTTGGGCCTGTTCGCAGTCATGAACTTCATAAGTCTATTATTTAATTTGCAAATTTCTTAAAGTTGTTTACGATTGATTGTAAAGCTACTAATGATTTGTTGTAAAGTTACGAAAAAGGGATATGTCATGCCTGCTTTCGTTGGTAGATTACAGGGTGATCCAGAAGTAACGTCAAAGATGTTGTAATTTCAAAAGTATTCATCAGATCTTCATGAAATTTGGTATACATGTACCCACAACATTTCTGAGTTACTATCTCAAAGATTGGAATTCAATCATTTCATTGGTTGAAATTATGGTTGCTATAGTAACCCGATATCGCGTAACCCGGGGCAAATTACTTAACGTGTAATGCGTAATCTCAAAATATCAACAAGATCTGAAATAGTTATATCCTCAACATTTTATTTCACAACAATATAAATCATACTATTGCACAGTTACTAATAATAGTTCATTCTACATAATTGCCACCATTTGCAACACATTTCTCATGTCTGGATACCCATTCCTTGAACACAGAATTAAATCCATTAGAACTCATTCCTTGTAGGGCTAGTACTACGGCATTTTTCAATTCCTCACAGGATTGAAAATTATTTCCACTAAGGTTTCTTTTTAGTTCCCCATACAAATAAAAGTCACTGGGGGCAAGATCAGGTGAATAAGGGGCATGTTCAAGTTGTTGAAATCCAAGTGTTTGGACTGTGTTGCTGGTCAGGATTGCAGTGTGCGTAGGGGCATTGTCCCAATGCAAGATAAACTGCTGCAGATGTCCGGGATGCTTTTTCCTCAGGGAACGTTGAAGATCATGCTTCAGAACCTGAAAAACAAATGTTTAATGGTTGTTAAACCAGTTGTTTCATTGATTGGATTTGGATTTGAATCATGGCCATGGAGTTATAATTATATTGACAGTGAACAACATTTAAATACTTTAATTTAAAAATAAAATTCACAGTATGATGTATTATTAGAACAAATGATATCTTACCTTTGCAATGTAAACGGCATTAATTCTCTGGCCAATGGGAACAAAATGGGTTAACACCATTCCTCTAATGTCAAAGAATGTCACAACCATTTGTTTCTTTTGTGGAATTCCTGGTACTATTTTACGCTTGGTTGGTGTTGGGGAGTTGTCATGTTTCCACGATGAACTTTGTTGCGTGGTCTCTGGGATGTAGAATGATAGCAATGATTCGTCACTCGTAATGATCTTGTTAAGAAAGTCATCTCCATCTCTCCGATATTTTGC